ATTCACATTTATTTAAAATATTTTCCTTTTTTGTCTTTATACGATTCTTCCAATTTCAAAATCCGTTCAGAAATACCGTAATCTTCTAACATGTGAAGAGAACCGATCTGCCAAACTCTGTAAAATGCCTTCGACATATCCAAAGCTGTAGACCAAGTGAAGCGAAAGCCATATTGCTTATCTGAAAGAAGACCATAATCATTCCACTTGTGAAAAAGGCCAGCATGCCAAATTCTGTCAAATGCCTTTGAGATATTTAAAGCAACTTCTTGAGCTTTATCATTCTTATCTAAAGCTTGATAGACTCTTTCAGCAATAATCGTTAATACATCAGCAGTTGACCTAGAGAAGCGAAAGCCATATTGCTTATCTGAAAGAAGACACTGTGAGGTGGATACTTAAGCAATTCAGAGTTGATTGGAAACTACGCTGCAGATTACTCCGCTGTACATGTATCAGGGTATCTTGTTTTGTTCTTTTTAATACTGCTCAATTATTTTCACTGAATCAAAGTCTAAACTACACGTTCTTGGCTTGAACTCATAAATAGTGCTTATTTGAAAAAAAAACCCAAAAAACCTGGGAGGTGTGATGCTGAACCAATTCAGATTAATCAATATATAAATTTCTGTGACTTCCATTAGTCCGTCCGTTTCTCACAGTCTCTAAAATAGCTATACATTGACCAATCGAATCCAAGTTTGAGGGAGAAGTGAAAACAGATAATGGGGTACAAAGTACAGTTGGTTTTACTAGGCTGCGTAGCTTACAATAAATTTTCACTATTTTGGGGGGGAAAAATTAAGAGTCTTATTATTTAACATAAAACATGTAATGATTAAAATAAAGAAAAAACACTTATTTAATAAAAATACAATATTGTTTTTTACATATATATTCTTTACGTTTTTATATATACAAGAATCCAGTTTTCAGTTCGCCATGTGTTTGCGAGAACTATGAGCAAATCATAAGGCCAAATGCTTCAAAAACTTGAAATTTGGATCCAGAGAGAAATATTTACGCACAGCCAGTTGTATATTGCATGCTCAAGAGTAAGAAATCCTTCTTCGCTGTTAAAAAGGAAAAAGTAAATTTTCTTAAAAAATACAGTTTACCCTGAAGATCTATAGATTAAATTTAAAAAAATTATTAAACCGCAAAGTAGGGTTTTTGTCAAAATATTTCCCAAACTAATCAGCTTATTCAAATTTCATCGATTGGCTTCCGAAATTGAACAAAACATAGATTTTGTAAATCTTGATAAAAATGTTAGCGATAACTTCAACAATACTGTGAGGATTTCCACACGCGTCTATTGAAAGCCAAAAGCAAACACGTTGCAAAAATATGTAATATCCTATATTTTTCGTATTAACAACAAAATTAAAATTCTATCCAGATTTTGGTGCCAAGATTATAGAATGAATAATGCTGATAGGCAATATTTTTAGATTTTCGAATTTAACTTACAATAACAGATCACTTGCTGTGATCACGTGTTTAGTGGCAGACACAGTTTTAAATTCCCCACAAGATTCACAGGTTGATATTTGAATCATTGATTATTGATTATTGATTTTCAAAGCATGGAAAGGGAATAATATTTAAAGTGAATAATCCCATGACTGTTTTTTCTCTCGCACTTCTCAAATTTGGGACTATCTTCAGGCTTCTTGCTATCCTGTCAACTGCTTTATGTGGCATGTTCCCCTCAGAACATAAGCGATCATGACTCTCCACAACTTCCTGTCCCTTGTAGCACTTTGTCTATCTGTTATTGCTTCTAAATCCTGTTTCGCCATCCATTTACTTAAGCTCACTACGTTATGCGTTGTTTTCCTCTATTGCTTTCTATCAGTCCCGTGAGTATTAGATTTTCCAAGCCCTCCTTTCTCATTATATGTCCCAGAATCCTCAACTGGCCATTCCTGCAAATAGGATCCCCCCCCCGCAAAAAAATGCAACGCCAATGGCCATCTTCTGACTTCTTGAAAGCTGTTTTATTGTACTTTATTTTTTGTAACGTTCTCCCAGTTTTATTCACTCTCACTAACCCCATCTTAGACTTAGTGGCATTATCTCGTTGTTTGAGGTGAAAGGGCAAAAAAAGCAAAATCTTCTGACCGTATTTGATCGTGTACTGCATTTAGTAAATATAATATCCGAAAGACACTAACAATAGAGCTATATAGTATGTACTCTAAAATCGAACACCATTATTAGTATCCTAAGTACGATATTTTCCTGATTCTTTGGTTCTTGTGATTGGCATCGCCGAGTGAACGTCTGCAAGGCTCTTGCAGAAGATCTATATAGTAAGAATGCTAAACGAGAAGACCATTGCTAGTAAAGATAGTTTCATACGTATAGATTATGCCTCAATAAACGCTTTGTAACTGATTCCACTGAGTAAATCCCTACAAGGCGTTTGCTGTCGTGTTATATCTAGTCAAATTTAAAAAAAAAAGAAACTTTGTAATAAAATGTAATAGATTTCGATTAGCTGTGGACTTGATTTTTTCCATGCTTATTTTTCATAGTCTGAAACTGACTGAGATAACCTCATAGAAACGGAACATATAGTTTTTATCTCGATCTCAAGTTTTGCTGTTTTATTGCCGATGTATGGGAGGGGGGTCTTTGAGGTTGGGTTTTCTAAGCAAATGGGAGCTTTTGAAGTCAAGCGACGACAACAAATTGATGCGGCCCAATCGTGTTGCCAGCCACACGTCGAGATGCTGAGATGGACATAGAGTTGGTAAGGGTTGTTGACGGAAAAAGATGGACATGGCAGAAGTTGTTCCAAATGTTACCTACCTGCTCACCCACTCAAACCGAACAAGTGAAGCTCTGTATAAAACAGCTAAAAATAGAATTCTTCCCTGTGGCGTTTGTTTTCATTTTCATTTCCTTGTCAGCTCACAACGAGAGCCTCTTACTGGTTTTTATTCACAGCAACACGAACGAGAATGACGATGCAATGTGGAGTAGTCATTGGTCTGTCAGTGAAAAACTCGCTTCGGCTGCGTTGTATGTTTTTATCAGTTAGAAATCGAGTGTACATTTGTAACATGTATATTTGTATAATTTTACTATATGTACGTAGATATTTACGAAGTATGGTTTAGTCGGCAAAATGCTGCAGTGAAGATTTGAATCCATGGTACACAAGACTATCTGTCAATTCTTGATTCTCTGACAAGTACTAATGTTATATAAATATTTCAACTAGTTGTTTTTGTTTAGCGGCATATCAACACCACTATGGGTTATTTAACGCCGAAATATAAATATTGTGCACTCAAATTTTATATTTTTATTTTTGCAGATAATGGTTTTAGTGATATAAGTCTTACTAATTAACCCATAGTTGGGGAGAGAAGAAGTGTAGTCATACCTTTCTCAAGGGTATTTGCGAATTAAGTGAATATAATGAACCCAGCGTGAATTAGAACTCGGCTCCCTGATTAACAATTCCGAGCGATTATCCAGTACACCACACGGACGTCTAAACTTACAACACCTTGTATTCTCAACCAGCTATGTAGTGACCATGCACGACGTTGCTTAACTTCGGTGACCGGACGGAAAAAGCTGTTCGAACATGCCATATATATATATATATATATATATATATATATATATATATATATATATATATATATATATGTGTATATATATATATATATATATATGTATATATATATATATATATATATATATATATATATATATATATATATATATATATATATATATATATATATATATATATATATATATATATATATATATATATATATATATATATATATATATATATATATATATATATATATATATATATATATATATATATATATATATATATATATATGACAGGTGGCCTGACGATTGTGTCTAGTATGAAACAGCCTGTCGCTTCTAAGTATTGACTTCAATGTTCACTTTTATATTTACACATGCTCTATCTCTGATATTGAGCACTTTATCCCATAAATGTAGCACACCTTAAGAGTATATTTCTTCATATATATATATATAGGTTGGTAGGTGTGTCAATGAATTTTAACGAAATCAGTACTAATGTTGAAATGTTCCATTTTCTTTCTGTAATTATTTTCCTTCTCTTGACACACTAAGTCTAGTCAAAATAGCGTTATAGAAAGTTTACCATAAATTGTAAAATGACACGAGGTTACATATCTTGGATCATTCTCAATTAGATTGTCTTTTTAATTGTTACTTTATGACTGAATGCTATAAAGCACTGAATTAGAAATGGAAGTTTAATCCAAAACGTGCATTTAAATCCTTTGTCAAGTTTGAGTGAAATAATTTGAAGTCAGTAATAACAATTTGTTTTTCATTATTAAAAAAAGAAACAAATAACCCACCCTCCAAAAAAAAAAACAAACCAACCAAGCAAAAATATACAGAGTTATATGGACGTATATATAATGGAATTGTCAATCTTTCAAAAAAAGACGCGTATATTTAAAATATAATCAACTTTCAGAAATTAATTAATTTTCAAATATTTATTGCTATTAAAAAAAAGATTATCTAATTACCAAGTGACAAATGTAACTAAATAAAAATGATAAAAGTTAGCTTTTAGAGAAATTTCAAAAGATTTTTATATCGATAGGAGAGAAATTAATATAATATTGTAAGTTGAAGAGAAATTTGTGGGGTGGATTGGGGGTTGCAAAGGAACGTTTTTTTGTTTGTTTTTATCAACACTTTGAGAAAAAAAAATGGAGTCGCTTGATTCCAAGAAGAAGAAAAAAAAACTAAAAAACAAATTTAGTTTGCTTAGATTAGATTTTATTTCACAAGAAATATAATCACAGGGAAGAAATTAAGATCCTTTTATGGTTCAAGATGAATATCAATATTCAGCCTTGTCTGAAAGGAAAAAAAAACATAACATTTTTGGGAAAATTACAATACATCTTTGTTACGACTGAAAGATAATTTTTTTGTCTTTTTAGAGTCTATCTATCTATCTATCTATCTATCTATCTATCTATCTATCTATCTACCAGGAGGAGAACAATCAGGTATATCCATATATCGATGGACTTATAAAAATGAAATAAAAATATGAAAAAAAGTTAAATAAATCAACTTTACAAAGGCAAGTTATGTTCTTAAATAATGTCGTCAGATCGAAACTTTTATGTAGCTGTGATGCATGGCCGAATATTTCCTTATAAGGAAACGATTAATATTATCATTGACAAATGAAATAGAGGATCGAACGATTTGTATTGTAAACTTCAAGACTAAATAAAGACAGAGGAAATGAAATCGTGTTCAATTGAGTATCATCAAGGAAATACGATTTACCTTCTTGGTTGGATTTGGATTTGGGTCGTTCAGATATTCCTGGGACACATGACTGGCATTGACATATAAACTCCTTTGTTCTCACATTTTCTCATATAGAAGGATGTTACATAGCATAAGTCGATTGATGTGGCCTTTGAAAATGACAACTGCATGGCACAAGTCTTGTAGAATTGGTCTGGATTTACCTAAACATAAAATTAGTTTAACATATTTTTACTTGTTCAATAGATAAGAGATTTTGTAACGGAATTTATAGCATTAAGCCATAAAACGATCATTAAATGTGGATTAAGCCAAAGTATAATTGGAATCTAAGAAATTCTGAGAATTTCATGACACTCACCTGACGTCCATATTGAAAACTGGTGCAATTTGTTACTACACCGTCAGTAATCAATTGATGTTTGTCAAGCAAAACTCCATTTTGTAAAACCTATTTGTTGCACACAAACTGAAGCCACAACAATTATTGAAATGTTGTAGCTTTAAACCTTGAAAATTTTTATCATTACGTCTGTATACTTGTAAAATCTAACATGGTCACTGGTATGGCAATAAAATATAAGCGAATTGTTAGGAAATCTATTAATCATTTTTTATGGAAATAAAAAGAATGTTTCTGATGATATTTACGACTTGATGATGAGAAACAAAGAAAATGTTGAACACTTGGGAATCTTTCAACAATTATAGATTTTGTTGTATTTTCTAAATGAGAAGAATTTGTTGGAAATATTAGAAGAGATTATATATTTGGAAATCGTAATGTCCACAAATCTTTCTTAAAAAAAAAAAAAAGATGGTAGCTATTTACCTGTTTGAAACAGTAACGGAATGGCGAATCAGATTGTAAGAAAAGTGTGCACAATCTCTGTTCTCTGGAACCATGTGGCTGGGGGCAAAGTTACGATGAGATCTACATTGTCTGGAAACTGACCACGACTGGGCAAACTTTTCCAAATCGTTGGTGTATCTGTTATTAGACATGAGCATGTCGTCTTCGGGTTCGTTGTTGTAGTTACCGAAAAGACCAGCCATTTTATTGAAATACCAACCGCTGATTTGCACGGTGTACAGTTGGATATCGTGGTCACACATTACTTTGTAGCCTCGCTTGCTTTCCACAACGATCAAGTTGTCTTGACGAGTGACTGTGGCATCGGTAAGTTTCAGCGGCAATTTCACCATCTGACGATTGTAGAATACCTTTCAAGACAAAGAATAGTAGCCATTTATATCGAATAATAATAATAAGAAGAATGAAGAGAATGGATAAGTCTTTTACTGAGAATAATGATGAAAGGCGAAGAATAGATGTCTACCTTGTTGTTTGGGAATATTTCCAATTGTTCATTATGAGCCGTTGTCAGGCTGAGCGATTTCAATGTTTTTGCTCTACGGTCTGCGTCAAAGTTGGCCACAACACTGAAATTACCATCGACAAAGTCACGTGCCAAGAGGTAGCTGCATGTAGCCTTGTAATTGAGATGACGTCCATCAAATGTAGTGATGTGCTGACCAGCGAACAGAGTGGCCTCAGCTAAAAATAAACCAGGAAACTTTCTCATCAGTAAAGAAAATAACAAAGAACTAACATTCCGCACATATAAAGTCAGACTGTCTTTGCAAATATCAGCGTCTCTACAGGTCATTAAGAGCGATATAGCTCGGTCAAAGGCTTCGATTTGTTCAAAAAGTAAATGTTGGAAAGTCAGTCGGATTCTCTACCTTTGATAGTGGCTAAAATGAGCAGAATATACTGGAAAATTCTCGGCTCGGTCCATTTCATAAAGTCAGTATTTCAATGACCAAACATAAGAGAACTCTTCCTTGTATTAAACCAGATCTTCTTTTTTTATTCATCATCATAGGAATTAAATGCGATGATAATGGAAGTCTTCAAATATCAATAATTATATTTGTTGTCAATTGGAAAAAGAAAAAGCAATTATGATGGAAAAAAAAACATCTGGAAATGTGACGTACCTTTGAATGGAGGAATATAATCGTAGAGGTCGGAAGAAGGTTTCATCATGTAGTAAATATCCCAAACATTCAAGTCGATATTTGGCATAAGGTTGCTCAATTTCATCACAGCCCGTTCTAGATCTTCCACACTCGACATGAAGTGGTTGTAGGCGTATTTGGCAGCACCAAAGCGAATCTCAACAATGATCTCTCCACGTTTCGGGTCGAAAATCAAAGTATTCATGCCAACATCAGTGACGATGTCCTTGATTTCCTTGATTTTCTCAGCACCAAATTTGTACAAGGTCTTCTTCAGTCCCAACACGTTGTCTCTAACATCCCAGTAATTGTACGCCCACAAAGCCTACAAGAGACAATAAAGAAATAACGATAGACAAAAGTTTAGATGATGACAACTGAACACAATTTCCTTCATTGAGGAAAGCGTCTAATTAATTAGAGAGTTGTAAAATCAAAGCTTTATGTTACCTGCTGGTAGATTTCATTAATTGCCTCCATGATAGCATCAACGATTGGATAACGTCTCACTCTGGCAATATGACGGTTGAGTGTGGCATGGGCCGAATAAATGGCAGATGTTAAAGTCTGCATATGCTCTTTGGCTTGTACTGTCTTTTTATTAGCTTCTTCATACATTGTCATTAGGAAATCGATCAATTTCTCTCCGTACGTATTTCTGCGCATCCGATCCATAAGATCTGAAAGCATAGATACAAATCAAATATTCTTGAAGTGAATTCATCAATGTTTCTATTAAGTCGTGTCAATAATCTGTTTTATTCAAAGCAGATCAATAATAAAAAATATATATTCTTAGATGTAATATATTAATTGACAACATAAACATTAATTGTGAATTTAATTTGCATAGAATTTACATTTAACTCAGCCCAGTCGAAAGAGTAGAATTTGGTTTTAATGTTACACGCGATTTATTGAAAACCAAGTTTCATTCTAAAAGTAAGAATGAAAGCGAAAGTATCTCACCTTTAATTGTGATTGGATAATCTTTCAGAAAAGAAACAATTTCAGTTTTCATTTCCATTGCACGTTCATACAACATTTCGCACTTTTGTTTACAATACTCGTGGAATTCGTTGACTTTGTTCTGTTAAAAGAAAAAAAAGGTTACACCGAAGATTCAGTTATAGTAAACAAGATTTCAGATTCGCTGGAATAAGGAATTTTTAATGTTTGATTTAGCGGCGGTGAATAAAATGAAATTTACTTACCTTAAGCTGCATACTGTATTGGCCATAGTAGTAGTCGAATTGTTTCTTTGCTTCATCCATTCTATGTTTCATATCCCAATTGAAGTCTTCAATCATCTGCTTCATTCCTTTAAGAAATCTGTTGAAGGAAAGCCACATTTCATGCCATTCATTGTTGATGGCTGTTATTGCAGTCTTTACGTAGAGAAAATCCTGTTCGAACATCCGATTCATATGGCGCATGACTCTGGTGATATCCTCAGCCATACTGTTGTACTCAGTTGCAAAATAATCTCTTATGGGTTCCATCTCCTCGCTAAATGATCGTTTGGCAAGAGCGAATTTCATGGAAACTTCATCGTTCAGCACATGAATCACAGAGTCTCCAAATGATTTCAATTCCTTTCCGTACATGGTCAATTTCTTGTAACCAAACATCTGCAAGAAACAGAATATAAAAAATGTAATCAATTGTCTGGATTGTTTTAATCTAATTTCAATAGACTATATCGGGTTGGGCAAAGGGAGATAATTTCATACCAGTTCCTTTGGAGTAGGTGATTTTTTGAACTAAAGGGCAATTACTCTGCAATGATTACTGAGCCATAATGCATCAATATAGAGGGAACTATTTCAATCTCTCTTTGAATTTTCTTATCTTTTTTCTGTAACGAGAGGTATTTTCTTTAAATTTCTATTAATCCTGTGATGTTGCTATATGAAAAGCCAATTGTTATTTTATAAATATATTTTAATAGCTTTTTTTCTCTTACGTTGAGTTCTTCAAGAAAATCTGGATTCCACTTGATGTGCGATTGGAAAAGATTGTTTGTTTTGAGTTCAACTGTAACTCTTCCATCAGTGAATTGTTTCCTTTGTTTGTTGGTCCGATAAGCTTTCAAGTTGGCCTTAGTCTTCATCAGATCGGCGTCAATGCGGTATAGCTTGTTAGGATCGGCTGTAAAATAATAAGAAACAATCAGATTTTCATAAGAACGAAGAAAATAGTTTTTAACATCAGTATTTCTAAGGATGTCTAAAAATTGAATTTCTGAAGGATACAGAAATGACAAGAATGAAAACAATCGACAAGTTTGGAGAAATCTTTCGAGTCTTTGCAGAAATAAGAACCATAGTCCTAAAAGTTTAAATCTACAATATATAAACATTCTAAAATTCTAAATGCCAACATTGGTTATAAATCATTTGTAGTTATCATTGTTTGCAAATTATATCAGAAAACTACCAATGTATTCAAAGCATATCCTTTAAAAGATGACCATCTTAAAAATAACTGAAATAAGCAATGCCAGACGAAATGGATCTTTTTTGGCCGATCATGGCTCTTACTAGATTCTTTTTATTTTATTAAGTAAAAATTACACTGAACTTTTGGAAATAGTGCTGGGTTGATTTCCCCTTTTTTCTCCACTGTTTTCAATTCGACGTTGTCCATTCTACGCTGCTAGTTAACCATAGCTAAGAAGAGATGAAATAGAATCACACTCTTTCCAGGAGCATTAGTATGAAGTGAATGCAAGAGACGTGGCCGTAACATGAAGTCGTTTCAGCGATTCCGCTTTACGTAGGATAACATTTACGCAACCAGCAAATCCAGATTGTATATAGATTAGTAAGGATTCAGCCAAGGGAAATAAGGGATGCCAATCCAAATGGATCTTACCTTCGTCATAATTGAAGATGATGTTCATTCTCTTGGAATTTGGGTTCAATTTGAAGAGAGCTTCCATGTTTTCTTTACCACTTTCTTTCTTTAAAGCGGACATCATGAATCTGTTTCCGGTACGTATAGATCCATCCAATTCAATGGTCTTTGATGGGGCTTCCAGCTAGAAAACAAGTATACGAAACAAAAAAGAAATAAGAAAGAATCCTTTTCGAAATCATCAATGGTTTCTGTGGCTAAAAGCTTAGGTTCAATAATAAACGGAACATAAATGAGGTCAAATACTAACAGATAACAAAACGAAGAAAAATAATTGTCGGTATTTTAAACAAAATGGCAGAAACAAGAACAAACTATTTTATAGGTGATGAAAAGCAATGAACACTAGAGATGTGTTTGAATTTTGTTGTCGGAGACGCTAAAGAATCTCGTTCAAAGTTCCTGCCATTTCAGACAAACATTACAAAGCCAAATGCTTCTATCAGACATTATTACCTTCATCAATTACGATAGATTAAGACAAAGTATTAAAAAAATATTTACCTTCAAATTAGCTTCACGGTTGAGTGTGTGAATTTCTCCACGAATGGCAAACTTTTGCTGTTGACGTTTTAAGGTTAAATATCCCATCTCGACATCGGCATTGTACTTTTCTGGGCTGCTGCTTACTCGGCCGATCACCTCAGTAGCAAAACCAGTGTGGTCGTGTCCAGCGTCCATCTGCATAGTGTACATTTTATGTTGACCCCTTCTTTCCGACATTAATTTTGTGGACATCTTGAAGGTCTTTTGGGGATCCTGATCTATGCTGAACTCAGAAGTGCTGCTGAAGATAATGTCGCCCTTGGGAAGATTGACGGTTGTCTTCAGATTCATTCCTAAAATATTGGTAAATAAACAAAAAGAATTTGGGATGAAAAACATCAGAATAGGATTTTTCAGTCTACGAATTGTTAATGAAATTTTCATCTTTCATTTCAATTTAGAACCACGATATTTGAAGATAGATAATCAATTAATTTAGATAAAAGAAATTCGACTAACCTTTCTCTGGTTGGGGAATTTGATGGTGACGTCGATGTCTGCTCTGTCGTTTGATGCCATCATGTCTGCCTTGATATCTACCTTTTGGTCTTTATTGTCCACGTCCATCATAATGTGACCCATTGTGGTACAATGATTCCCATTCACTTCAACCCTGCTATATAATTCCATGGTACGGCGTGGTGTAATTATTCTGAGTTTGCCTTCCTTGTTTTCGCCCTTCTGAACCATCAATTCGAATCCAGCCTTTTGATCTCTAATCTCATCCCACATGAGATGGGAAGACAAGAGTAGAGAGCGTCTGTTGTTCTCAAGACGGGAATCGAAAGATACAGTTCTTTCAGGGAGGACCATTTTCAAATTGAAGCTACGAGAGACGTCATCGCCTCGGTCTGTGTTCTTGTAGGATGTTTGGAATTGATATTTTCTATCCTTCCTTCTGTTATCCACATTCACATTCAATAAAGCGTTAAGGTTGCTGCTGTTTACGTCGATATTCATGCTGTATTCTTGATTTGGAAGTTTGACATTGACATCAGCTTTCACAGAATCACGTTGCATTTTAGTTTCAGCAGAAATCAGAAATTCTTTGAGAATCTGGAATGGAGTTGTCAGACTGAGTGTAGCAGTTGTTTTACGTCCTTGAAACTTCAGATCACCTTGTGTTTCAATTTTATTTTTGAAATTGTCATAGTCACATTTGAAATCGAAGCTGTAGTCATCAGCAAAATACGAATCAAGAGAATAGCCAGTTAATCTGGATCCATCTTGTTCGATGTAACCTTTTGTGACAAATGAATTTCCCATTTGACCATTATGTTCGTAAAAGATCTTAATCATTCCTGTCCTCGAAGATTTCAAGTTAAGCATCATATCGGTCTTCCGAAATCCTTCCGACACGAGACGCAATTTCATCTCGCTTGCATAAAATGTTGGAATATTGACTGTCATCAAGACACTAATTTCTGAAGAGATTTTCACAGACGCCATCGATTTGAATTGGACATCTTCAACGTCAGCTTCCAACTCATATTTGTACGATTGATCATCAAACATGAGATCGATTTGTAGTTTTGCTTTTCCAGATCGACCAAGAATCTTGTAATGCGGTTCAATTTCGAAATTTGCTTGGCTACCGTCAAAATTCATTTCGACTTTATTTTCAAAAACATTTTCGCCAAATGCCATTTTCATAGTTGCTTCGCCGTTTCGTATGTCACCGTTTGTTTTAATTAAAACATCAATATTGTCTATACTGGGAATGGCTAAGTGGGCTTTCATTTCTTTGAAGTTCTTGTTGCTAGCTTTAAATTCAATTCTTTCACCATCATAGTCCATCATTTGCATGATGAATTCAAAGTTTTTCCAGTTGCCGTTCAATTTTACCTGAAGCTTTTCCAGCATTTTGGGTAAGGAAAGGCGGAATTCCTGATTCGCCAATGAGAATTCACTTCTGTAGAGTTCCTTGTTGTGTTTTACCTCGATGAAACCATTAAAATCTCTTAGTTGTCCATTGATTTTCATCGAGAAACTTTGTTCTCCAAATTGTGGAGTAATCAGCTTGCCAGAGATATCTCGGAAATAGTTTTTCGTTGAAGCCATCATTTCATATTTCTCTTTCTTGAAAATAACATTGGCATTGAATGAAAAGCTTTTCAAGTCGCCATTGAAGTGTCCATCGATATTTATCTGGGGACCGGTAATTGTCAGTCGGTGCTCTCCTGTTTTCATACTTCTCAATACATTCATTTCATACGTGTTTTGTCTGTGAGAAAACTGAGCGGTGAAATTAAAATTATTGAGGTCGCCTCGGAGATCGTAGCTAAACATAATGTTTCCAGTTTGCGGACTGGCCATTTCTAGGTGGATATTTCGAACGTAATTATCGTTGGATAATCCGAAGCGGTAAGAATCATCCACGATTTTAACACTGGCAAAAGATTTAAACTTTTTCCATTCTCCTTCAAAATCAAGCTTGGCTTCTATTCCTGGTGCATAAATATTCAAATCAATCATTTCGTAAAAATTCTTGTTAGAGAGTGTCAGTTCGTAAGTGTCTCCTTTGTGAACTACTTTCACTGCAGCATTGAACTTCTTGGGTTTTCCAGTCACGGAAACTGTGAAAGTATCCTTAAAATAAGGAGTATTCAAATCGCCTTTGATGATCTTCTTACGTCCAAAATCTTTGTAAGTACCCGACACTGACAGCTTTTTCTTGTTGTAGATAATATTGAAATCTCCGCTTGTTGCTTTTTTCTTAATGTTTAATTGGCCGTTCACTTTCAGCACATGCTTTGGAATAGTTAAAGCGAGTGAGCAGTCTTGAAAGAAATTCTTGTTGGAAAAAGTCAGTTCATATTTCCTGTTACCATATAAAACGCTGAAAGTTCCTTTGGCATTATCTAAATCTCCTTCAAACATAAAATCCCAGTTCATAAATGGTGTGTTTAGCAGGAAGTTCATTTGTCGGAAGTATTCTTCGTTGGACGCTTTCATTTCGTATATTTGTTTGTGAAAGTGAATCATCGACTCAAAGTTAAACTTTTTTGGATTTCCCTTTAAAGACACTTGAAAGACAGGAGTGTCTACTTTAGCATCAATCTGTTGATAGTAGCCGCTGTTAGAGAAGGTCAGTTCGAATTTCTGTTTGTTATGCATAACTTGGGCAAAAATATTCATTGCACTAAGTTCCCCATCAAAGTTGAAGCTTGCTGTATCTTGGAAGTATGGAGTGTTAAGAATTGCTTTCATTTGACGATAATATTCTTTATTGGAAAGCATTAATTCGTAAATCTGATTATTATGACTGAATTTGGTTTGTGCTTTGAAAGCTTTTAGGTTTCCTGAAAACGTAACAATCAACTCATCTTGGTATGATGGAATAGATGTCTTGATTTGCAATTTCGACAGATGTTTATACATCACGGACATGTCGTATACTTGACGGCTATTCAAGGTCAATGTTGATGACATATCGAAAGTGATTTTTTCTGTATCGATCTTCATATTAAAATCAAAGTTGACAGGATTTGGTCCGCTTACCTTGAGGTTAATCGAACGTCCGTATTCTTTAAGGATGGCATCGATCCTGTTAACCTCTTTCTTAGCAATGCTTGTGATAATGTTTGCTGTCATATAATCAAGATTACCTTTCAATTCAAACGTGCTCTTCCATTCATCAAAATCTAAAATTTGGGCATCGAGCGAAGCTTTGCTGGCTTTTCTTGAGTTCTGGAACATTGCATCAAGCATCAGGACATTGGCCAATTTCAGTATCAGACTCGATTGCATGCTACTAAGAGGACCTTTATTCTTCAATTCAAACTGGAAATCTTTGTAACGTCTGTGAGATGTAAGTGCAGCGATGCTTATACCGAAATCACTCATGCTGTTAAAATTGTAGTTAATGTCCAAATCAACCATTTCTTCGTTATTCAATTGGAAAACGATCTTTGTTTTGTGAGATCGAATCCAATCACCGTCAAACATAACAGTGGCCTTTGCTTGCTTCATGGTTTCAAATTGTGTCTTCATTTTCGATGCTAAACAGTTTTTTGGTCAATTTCATTTCAACTTGAGTTCTATCAAAATAAGGCATCACTTTCAAAGATGCTGTACTACTAAAAAGTCTATTGTTACCGTTAAAAAAGAAAGACATGTCAATTTCAGTGAGTTCAGGAAAATCTGGACTCATTGTCTTGAAAGATGCAGCAATATTTTGCAAGTCAAGACTTCCTTCCATTTTCAGTGATCTTCCATCTGGTAATCCCAATGTTCCACTCATCTTGTATGTTGTTCGCTCTTTCTTGTAATTGGCTCTCATCATCACACTCTTACCATCAGCTGTTACTTTCAGCTCACCATCTGCAGATTGAATACCTTTGTATTCGAAAGCACCATCAGCAGAAAATTCGGTATATCTGGAATCGATTTTAATATTGGCTGTCTTCCTATCACCTGAGAAGTTAATGTTTCCTGAAACTGTTGCCATCTTACCATTTGCGTCTGTAATATCAACTTTCATATCGATGTTGTCTCTTTGTCTTTCATAATTGGCTTCCATGTTGAACATTAGATTACCATTAAGTGTCATGTCCATTTTAGCCTTCAGCATTTTCGGCAAGTTTCTTTTCATCTCAATCGACATCTTTCCGTTTCTGTAATTTCTTAATGAGCTTGAATAACTCATATCAATGGAACACAAATCGTCTTTATGTTTGAAGTTATATGAAGCACCGATTTGTCGGAGATACTGCAATGGAAGATTTAGTTTACCTTCCCCATTAGACATGAGCTCACCCTTTCGTTTGTCGTATTTCGAGGTGATTTTCATTTTTCCATTGGTACGCAGAAAATCAAATTCTAACAAAATTTCGCTTTCACTGTTCATTCTCTGAGTGCTGTGCTTCAAGATAGCATCAATGATTGTAGTTTTATCATGATGAACTTTTATATTACCATTTAAAGACATATCTGAATATTTCATGGCAAGTCCTACTTCAGATTTTTACCATTGAGAAGAGCAGATGCATCATATGAAAGTTGGAAGTCAGGGTAAACGAAGGAAAAGTCGTGCTTCAGCTCATTTTCGTTGTTCCAAGACACAGACATTATGGATGTATATTTTCGATTGGCCCATGTGTATTTGACTTGGCTGTTAAAATTCCTCATTGCAGCAAATGGTGTTGAGAAAGTAAGTTTACTGTTAAACAAACCATTTCTCATATAATTAAAGTTGATATTTGTTGATATTTTCTTGTTTGGTGACCACATAATTTCAGCATTGACATCACTGGACATTTGCCTGGCATTGAAAGTATATGTAACACCACCTTCCGCCTTATAATTGATTGGTTGTCGAAGAATCACTTCTTCATCGGCAGCAAATTGCGTTTTGACTTTGTAGGCTCCAGATGTTGCTTGCAGCATTGCAGTTACTTTAACTTCTTTTTTATTGGGCAATATTAAAGTATTCTCAATATTATGTATATCTTTGCCAGTTCTAGTGTACATACTTTTTACCATTGCCTCTTGTCCCTTTTGCCATTGTACGGAGAAATTGTTTTCATACATATTCTTATTCACTTGCATCAATTTGTTCGTTATTTTCATATCTCGGCCTGGGTAAGAAATGGCCATTTCACTTTCATAAGTTGGCAAGCTTTTTACCTTGGAGTTAATATAAGATAACTTTGTTTGGACAACTTTTCCAAGAGCCATTTGGATCATCACTTTGTTCTCAAATTTCTTGAAAGGCCATTTTGAAGACTGCACATGGTTAGCCTCCACTTTGTAGTTAATTTTCTGAAACAAGAAAAAGCAAAATTAATTTTTTATTAAAAGGTCTTTTTATATTCCAATGATGTCATCTAAAGCTAATTGAAAATTTCAATTATCTAAATAATCAATTGAATCTGTTTTGATGTTTTTAAATTAATTAGTAGTAACAAAATATTAAAATATCTGGGAAATAAAGTGTAGTTTAAACTTTGATGTCTTTTCTTACTGAATAAAAGTAAATGATCATGATATAAACAGAATTTACTATTTCGTAAATATTTTGGTTCCATTATGAAGTTATGATGCTAATATTACCTTTTCCGGGTGTTGAATCATCATAGCGTAGTCATAGGTGTGGATGTATGTCTTCAGGGCTCTGTTGAGCACAAAAGCGAATTTAAGGTTGTTGGTTTTGATTTTAGGATTTCCATGATGAAGATCAAATTTTGTTTCCAGGTGATTATTAGACTTGGCGAAGTCACCCTTCAGATTGAAGTTAATGGATTTATGTTTATAGCTTTCCAATGCACTAAAAAACAATTCAAAGAATATTTTTGAGTTTGCCAGTATCGGGTTCAAAGGAACTTTTAATGATTTTCAATGCCAAGCAAAATTAGAATAAATGATTTGATTTTCTCATCCATTTGAGGATAAGTTATTGAAATTTGGTAAAATATTTGTTTAATAGAAACGACAAATACTTACATATTGCCCATGTAACGAACAGACTTTTTGACACTGAGATCACGGATTTTGCTTGACAGAGTGAGTCGGTCAGAATAATTCCTTCCAAAATTGTAGTTTCCACTAACTCGACTAGTGATTCCAGTTTTTTTGTTGTCTACGTCGCCGATGATTTTGAAGTTTCCACGAGGTGATTTGAATAATATTCTAACGATATGTTTTGTCTTTGTCCTTCCAGCGTTTAAGAGGACGAGGGCTGAAATATTACGTTACAGATATTAGTCATAGGACGATTTCTTTCAACAGATATGATTGCAGTAATAAAGATACGTTAAAATATAACCCATAATTCATTTTAATTATTTAATTTAATTTACGTTTTAATTGATTTACGTTTAAGTGAAGAATTTCATTAAGAATCAGGGCGATTAGGTTTTTGTTAGGTTGATTGAGTACTTACCATTCATAGCGATTGTCTTGGGAAAGATTTTGTTAAGTTTGAAGTCAAAACTCATTTTCTTCTTGGACTCGTAGAGAATTTCACTGGTGAATTCAACAAGATCTCTGTTTGGAGTTGTAATCTTCAGTGATGGAGTATATTTGAATCCAGACTTTGATACCAATCTTCCCAAACGACTAGCAATATAATATTCTTTCTTTCCGATTCTAAATTGAGTGGTGAGACCAATTTCTTTCGGAACAATTTCGCCAGACACTGAATAAAAGGTAAACTCAAATTTTAGAGAATGGATTGTGTCAAAGAGAAAAGACAAAAAAGTACACGTTTAAAAAGGAGATGATTATTATTATTATTATTATTATTATTATTATTATTATTATTATTATTATCCTAGATGTTATCTTATCCCAGGTTCTTTTCCCCAGATAAGATAAGAACAATTAAAAATGAAGCAGTTAACTGGATAGAAACGTAAATTATTTAAAACAAAAAGAAGAAAATTCAGAATGATCTTTGTTTTTAGAGGTGAGGCAATGTCTGTTTGCTTACCTTTCAAATTGATATCATTGGCAATAAATCCCTTGGCAGACATATCGATGAGTAAGGATTTCATCGGCTTCATTTCAATTATTCCTTCATACTCCATTCTCTTTTGGGGAATAGTGATGTCAAATTTAGGTGTGAAGCTCAATAAACCTTTCGTATTTTTGACTCCAAGCTGAGCATTTAAGGCATATTCTGTGCGTCCATTGAGAGACACTGTTCCAGTAATTTTCTTCATTTCGAGCATATTAACGACTGTACCTGTTGTAAAAAGTATTGTAGCCAATTAAAATAGTTGTGTGAATTTGAGATATTGATTTACGTGAAACAATAACATTGCTGTAATTATTCACCAAAATACAAATCATTGTTCACTGTTACAAATTATACCAATAGAATTATGTAAAGTTTTCCGTGATTTGATTTTTTATTAGCAGGTTTCTTTCATATATTTAGTAGTTCATCTAAGAAGAATTTAATATTTACCCAAAGTGTATAAAATAGGTTTTAAAAGATGCGAAATTTGATGAGTAAGTTTTAAGGTTTTAATTTGTTGATGTAATTCTAATATTTTCATTATGACATTTAGAAAGTATTTTTATAGCCATCTGCATCGTAACGGCGTACGTTTGTTTTATGGAGGAAGAATATTTTAATATATTTGTCTGAACATTTTACAAAAGAAAGAACTGACCTTCAATTTTGATGTTTTTCCATGGAGCCTTAAATGTGATATGAGCTTCCTTTTTGTTTTTCATGACGGTATCAACAGCAATTCTCCGGGAAACTTTGGAATTTGGAGTGTCAATGTAGAAAGAGTAGGGTGATTGCTTTAAAGGCAAAAAGAAAAAGCTAGTAGATTATTGTCCCGGAGAGGCATCCATAAAGGAAATATACAATGTTTAATATATTCTTATGTGTAAATCCCGCCAAGCAGAAGAAGTGAAAAATTTCGTTCTGTAAAAGTGTTATAAAAAGAAGTTTCATGAAGGATTGATCTTACCTTGGTAAATCCTTCGATTTGGTATCCGTTGGGAACATCTTCGTTAATCATATAAAGATCGTAGATAACTGGACCAGTGAATGGAAAGAATGGAGCCTCTTTGTGATGTGAAGCATTTGGGAACTTGAGAATTTGACAGAAACTAAGACCAGTTACTTGCTTCATGAATTTGCCTGTGCAAACCTCGTGTTTTTTCACGTTATCGACAATCATTCTCTGTTTTTTTTCGGAATTTCGATGGACGATGTAAAAATCAGTCCTTTTGAAGGAGAAAAAAAAGTCCATTTTTAATCAAAATGATTATTGAATTAATAAAAAAAGGCAATTGATATAAGACAAAATGTTGAAAAGAAATGTTTCTTCAAAGAACTTACTTGAGGTTGAAAATTTCCATCTTCTTTTGAGGAATCTGTAAATCAAATTTGTTATTACGAATATCCAGTTTAGCTCCGGTACTTGTGTGGGCAACTGTCACCATCTTTAGACCAGCTCTAGACACATGTGCATCTACAGACATTTCGCCTTTCACTTGGATTGAAGCACTGTAAATATCAAGATTACAAATATTATTAGATTGCATTCGATGTCATTCAACGAAAAATTTTGACGAAATCATTATTTTCCAAGTTCCTATTTCGACAAATGTTTTCAAATGTGATAAATGATTTACCTTGGTCTGAAGTCGATATTTAGTTCATATTTTGGTCGTTGAAATGATGCCTTAGCATCAAGAGAAATACTTCCTGTGGTAGAAATAGTGAGGTTGAGAGGAAGACCGACGCAGGTGGGAATAATCATACGGCTATCAAGAAGCGCCATAGTTTTACTGAATGACAACGATTGCATATACATCAGTCTCTTCAGGGAAGACTGCAATTCATTCAGGGATTTATCATCCCAATAACGAAGTTCATTTCCAAACACTCTCAGATAAGCAGAAGCACGGAACGCATCCATACTTTTATCAAACTGCAAGGAAAGAATGGAATATTAATGTTAACCAATAAAATTACTTTAAACCAAGCGATGCTGGCAGTATCTTCAAGATATATTTATCTGATAAATATGTCATATGATGTTCCATTTATCTGTTTTATTAGTAATATTTATTATAAATTATTTGCTGTGAGATTTTATGAAATTCGAATTGCTCATTTATATATATTTATGCATACATATTTTGCTATCTATCTATCATTTATATATATCTCCTGACGAGTTGACGGAACGATTGTTGTGGAGCCCCTCGAAAAAATAACAAGAAAGAGAAGTGAAAGATTTTATATTTGCATTAATCCTTTCTCTCACTCTCTCTCTATATATATATATATATATAAATATATATATATATATATATGATAGTTTTACTATGAGTTGTAAGAAAGTTGTAACCTCAAAAGAGAAGCAAAGTTCTGAAATTCCAGAACAATAAATAAGAAACTGAACATTTTAGTAAGTTAAAGAGATCAACATTGGTTTTAAGAATTTAACAAAAAGAGATTAGAAACTTAAACAAATAAGTGGATTGAGCAGCCTGAAATCGTTTGAAGACGCTAGTCTTGTGAATGAAAGCATAGAGAATAGATAGAGAGTGTCAAGAATCTTGTCTAAAGACATGATGTATTGCCTACAGAAAGATGCATATGAGAATTGTAAACAATATTGAAAGAATGAAAATCTTTGGGACGTAAAGCAAATTGTTGCAAGTCATGTTAAATTTGATAAAGTAGAAAAGTTAACAAGAATGAATTTCAGCGATCCACTGTTAGCATTTATAATATTAGAATTATTTATTCGAATATATGATATCGAATCTTTTGGATTTCTTTCAAAATAAGAATTTATATTACAATTTGTTCAAATAATAAGAACTGGAAAATGATACTCTTGATGTTTGGGAATGAATTACAAACTAAACATCAGCTGATACATTTCCACACTTAACTGTAAGTATAGCTTAAAATTTTATTATAGCATGTTTGTTAATGATACTCTTATTGTGAAAACATTAATGTAAATAATAAATACTGTAATCCATACACACACACACACACACACACACGCACACACACACACACATATATATATATATATATATATATATATTGTTTGAGAGAGTGATAGAGAGAGAGAGTATGTTGGGTAAGGTGGGGGAGAAAGATCAATTTCAATTCTTGTTTTTATTCGTTCTCTTATCAATATTTATTTTTAGCGTGACTTTCAGATTCGTTTTACTTACATTTATTGGAACTCGCGACTTTAAAGCAGGGGTGTTAGTACCAGCAGGTCCAAAGAAGTTCTCCAGAATTTTCTCAACGCCTTGGACTCTACCTCCAAACTCCAGGAAATTGATAGCATGACCAAATAAGTCAATGGTAAGATTCAAGTTGGCCGATCTTGGTATGAAAGATTTCTGTGAAAAGATGACATTGCTATCTACTTTGGCACCCATGTTGATTGAATCAAGGAAAAAGGATCCTTCGTAGTTTCTGGAGAATTTTCTTTGGTCAAGGTTAAATTCTTTCTTGAGTTCTTCGTCTTGGACAATATTACGAATGTCCTGCATGTGTGGGTCCGATGTTTCCATCAGGTTTGTCAGATGAGACCACACAAACGATCCGACTTGATTGGACTTTTCTTTTTCTAACACTTGACGTACTTCAGACAAAACGTTTCGGCTTGGACACTTCATCAGGGCAATGTACGCGTTGAGACGGAGCTCAGAATCCTCAGCTTCATCACGGAAGACTCCCATCAAATCAGATCGCTATACAAATTAATACAAACATACAGAGTTATTTATGGAGCTGAGTCCTACAAGCATATAAAACAATACAAATGTATTTATAATTATTTTTTTTGTGTAATTTCCATCATACTTCCAGCTTTTAATAATAAAAGAAATTTCAAAAAGAATTATTTTGAGATCCATAGAGATAAATAATCTTAAAATAAACTTTAAGAATTATTTTGTTTTTTTCTAAATTCAATAACCTTTATTATATTATTTAAATGTATGAAATGAACGAGAAGCGAAACTGGGGTGAACCTACCATAGCATCACATGGAATTCTTCGGAAGGCGTCCATAGCTGCAATTCTTATTTCCTCACGGACATCTCGTCGAGTGAAACAGCGAGTCAAATGAGACACAGTCTCATGTGAATGACCAATGTTGCCAATTGCTCGAAGAGCAAAGATGATTCTTCTGGCATCACCATTTTGGGTATTGCAATCGTGGGTGTGATCTATTAGTTTTCTGAGGAGAGTAGTGATTTCGGAATCTTTTCCGCAGTCAGGTCTTGCATTGCAATAACTGCTTGCCAAAGATGACACAGCGAGTAGGGTATTACCAGAGACATCACGTTCGTCTAACAAAGGCTATAAATAAGTGAAATTGATAGATATAAACGATAATAAATATTGATTTATATGTTTAAATATTTAACTAGAAAACAATTAAAATATCCCGAAACAAATTATGATCAATAATTTTAATGTTGTTTTGATATATGAATACAAAGTATTGATTAAATTGAATGTTTTTGTGTATGCATGTGCCTTACCGTAGCGGCTGCAACCATTTCCTTTGTAGGATGATGGACAAATGATAATGACAATAGCCACATTTCAGCTTCGCTGCCGGTGACACGTTTCTTGGAGATGAGGTCTTGGATCATGCCAACTGAAGCTTCAGTTCCTACCATTGGAATGGCATCGTGGAAATATTGCCTGTAAAATAAAATAAAGTAATTTTATTTTGATAAATATTTGGTTAATGAATATGAAATTGACTCATTCAACCTATGAATTTGATGGTTTTATTTTGAATCTTTGCAGATAAAACGATATTTTTGCTACTAATGTATTACCAATTGAGTTTGAAGCTTGAGTTCTGTCGCCTATTTGGACGGGAGAGAAAAGTCATTTCGTAACCCAACATTTGTTCTAATCTTTGATGAAAATTGGTTGATTCTTAGCAACGTATCAAAGTAAGTAGTAAAACTTAAGTGAAAAACGAAATTCTTACTTGATACGATCAGCATTGGGAGCACAGATGGTCCTTTGGTTGATTTTCTTGTAAACTCTTGAAAGAACATCTTGGTCAACCTGACGCATATGTCCAATCAATTGGTTAACCATTTCTGGAACTTCAGGGCGAATATCTTCGGCTGCTTTCTGGCAGAGTTCCTGCAATTTAGCCTCAATTTTATCCTCTTTATCTTGCTTACTCGGAATGTCATCTTGGTGATGGAACAGCAGCGTACTTCTCTGGTTAAAGTTTTCTGAAAATGATGACGGCAATGATTAATTTTGTACGTTGATAGAATTTAGTTTAACACAAGCAAATACATGAATTCCCATGTGATTCCGAAAGAGTATAAAATGTTAGTCAATGCTTTTAACACGTCTTAAATGCCATAAGACAATAAAAACCATAAGCAAATAATAAACAAACTAACCACGAGATGGACGTCCAGCCCTTCTTTTGTTGGTGAAGGTCAAAGTTTGTTCACTGCTGGTCATGGCACCGTTCTTTCCATAAGAGAATGGTCTGAAAACGTGTTCTTCTGAACATGTTGAACTTTGCAGGATGTTAGAGCCGAGATCCAGTGTCTGGGTACATTTATATTCACTCTTCATCAGTGGGAGAGATTTGACAAACTGGAAATGAAATAACAAATATGATAAATCCATTATTCTGATAACTGGCAAAATAAAATGGAATTTATTAGAAAAAACAAAAAACAAAACAAACTCACGTAAGGTAAGAAAATACTCACTGAAGGTACATTGTATCCGATAGATTGGACAGCCAGGCGGTAACCTTCACGGTCACTGCAGCTGAGTAGATTTTTCGTCTTCTCCACTCTCTCATTCCTACGACTACTGCTTACAATTTTGTATTCAGAACGACAAGTACCAACAACATCAGTCTGAAAAGAAGACATTCCTTAATTAAATTATTTTATTCCAGTGAAAATGTGATTAATTCTCTTTAAAACAACATTTATTCTTTTTTGAATCGAAATGTAAAGAATGATTGAGACGAACCTCAGTGAGATTTTGGTCACGATCGAAACTGTCCATTGAATTTTGGAAAGCGGAGAGGATGCCTCTTTTGATGTTCAGAGTCCATATTGATTCTCCTTCCGTTGAACAGATGTGATCAATTCGGCCATCTTGGAATGAGAACTTCAAGGCGTGTTTCATGATGGCTTCCTTGAAAGCCTGAGAATTCTGTTGGTCTTCAGAATCTCGAAGAGAAGCGTCCTTTATCTGGAAGGAAACATCAATACTTCAAAGATTATACGGTAATAAATCAAACATTTAATAGCTTCAATTTATCGAATCCAGTCAATAAGAAATGAAGATCATTGTTACGATAACATTGACGAAATACATGGCCATGTACAGAGTTATTTCAATCGTGATAATAACCTGGAGAAGAAAAAAGGGCAAAAGAACTGGAGGCAACTGAAGAAGAGAAAGAGAGTTTTTCATAGAAGAGAAAGAAAACTAATTTGGGAGGAAGGAAAATATTAAAGAACTACTAACTAAAAGTTTGTAGATTATTATAGCAAATTCTATTAAATTTAATTTCACTCACAAGTATTAGAGACACAGATATCAAAAGACGACGATAGAATTTCCCAGTGTTGTGCGTGTTTCATATGTAATTAAGCCTTTGTTGGTATTTCAACTGATATATGCTTGCATTCTCCTCAAGAATAATGTGCAATTAACGAAAATGACATGGAATTCATTGATTTTTTTCTTATTTTTTTCTTATTGATAAGGTGTACTTTGTCCGAAAGCGGAACTTCTTTATATAAATATTTTGCAATTTTTTAACTTACCCTCATGACAAGGTCGCATTTGGTGATCGGTTCAATCTCAACATTGGCATTCATGTTGATAATGGCAGAGTCTTCGGAGGCACCGTTCATTTTTGTTGTTGTTTTGGCATCGTAAGAGAATTCGTAGACGGTTCCTGGTTGGTAATCGAATTTGTTGGTGTCTGAAAACATAAATTAAATCAAGTCTGTAGAATTTTAATCTTGTTACAGAATATCACTGGAAGTACCTGTTTCATTCCATTTCAGATGAAAATCTTATTTCTTGGAATATTTCCTGATTTTTTTCTTCTGATTGATCGAGATATTTGTGATGATACCTAGCGTTTCAGATGATCAAATTGACCAATGATATATCTACATGAAAATGCGAGAGAGAGACAATATTTTCTTATTTCCACTAACGCAAAATAAATTATTACATGAGCAATGTCATCAATAGGCTAGGGGAATGTTATTTTTTTTCTTGAAATCATGACGTCTGTTTTGAGATTTTTCAGAATCTCTCTGAGAATTGATAAGTATTTTAGAAACAATCAATTCCTCTTGTGAGCAGCAAAACTTTTGTTAAATTCAGTAACTGATAAATTGGTAATAATCAAAATACATTTTGAGAAAACTTACTTCTTTATTGGTTCGCAAATTTCTCAACGTTATTTCATGAATTTTAATTTTTAAGATTGGTAGAGAGAAAGTTGACTGAAATTGTTTTTTCCCAAGTTACCAGCAATTTTCTGTTTTTGAAATCCCATTTAATATTCGTCAATGTTTGACCATTTTCTTTTCAGCAATGGAGTGAGAGTAGTGTGCATATAAGTGCAATTTGTTATATAAATATATACATACATTCATATTCACGCACACATCTAACTCGCCTTCATTTAAACACACACACACACACACACACACACACACACACACACATATATATATATATATATGTATAAATATAAATAATAATGTTTTCTTTTAAACAAAGAAACATCATTTTTTGACGGATTTTCTTAAAATGCAATTATGAGGCTACGACACAAAGTATTCAGTGATTACATTTAAAAGAATCCAGAACTAAAAATTTAAAATGCGTTTCGGAGTAAAAAAACACAAAATATTCGGACATTTTATTTAAACAAGGAATAAATTCCATTTTTAATGAATATACTCCAAATGCATGATATAGACATTCAATGGGATTAGTTAATCCTGAAATCGACTAGATAGAACTCATCCATCTAAAGGGATGATAAACGAATTTTAAATCTCCTCTAACTTGCGGCCATTACCATGAGAAAGGCTTCGGGTGTAAACCCTGAGGATAAAATCTGGAGACGAATGCCCCCTCCCCCAAGGCAGTCTTGTTCTTTGACGACACCGGTGCTTCGTAGTATCGTGCTTTTGTCCTTCACATGAGCGCCGCCAGTGTCGTGGAAACGGGAGACGCGTTGCATGGACAATTATCGAGCTTCCATTAAAATAAATTCTGCGCAGGTTTGGAGTGTAAACGTCTTCTCACCTGTTCTCATTTTTTTGGGGAAAAACACCTTGTTACTATCCATCACCAGCCGATTGACAAAAAAAGAAAAAGAAATAAAAGCCACTCAACAAACTTAGATCCATGTATCTCTTGATACTGACGGATGTTACCTTATAATTTCTTTAAAAAAAAAAAAGAATTACTTCGTGAAAGAATAAATAAAACTGATTCTTACCGGAACATGTTAAAGAACATGCACTTTCTTCTGTAGCCGCGAGTTTGTAAACTGGACCTGAAAAAATCGGCGAAAATAGACACAATGAAAATACCCTCGAATATAATTGTGGTTGTAACATATTTTTCAAACGAATACAATATTTTTAAAGTAAATTTTAAATTAATAGATGCCGTTATATTTTTATGAGTTGTTACATCCAATGCCTGTGTGGTCTGTGACTGTTGAGAGAATGGTCAGCATTTTTCTGTCAAGATTTCATAAGCAGTGAATTGGCTGCGAAATGTTGAAATTCAAGATAGCAAATCAGTTATTTTATGGGACAAGTGCATTCCTTTAATTATTTCACTAAAAAAATTTAGCTACGATAGCGAAACAGAATTAAGTACCACACGAAACGTTTTCCTTTTTTTCGGCTTTATTGATATCATTTAAAAAATATTTCGTTGGCAACATAACATGTCATAGGAGTAGCAGAAAAGTTTCTTTAAGAAAGATTAAAGTTTATATTGCATGAAATAAAAAAGAAAAAGAAATGCACATTTGATAGAATCCTTTTTATGATATTCACTTCGAAATGTTCTTCATTCAAGATCAAATTTAATCAAATAGTCATCTTTACATTTTTTTTATTTCTGCACGAATTGCTCTCGACTGTTTCTTGGATGACATTTGATTCTGATTTGGCGCTCAACAACCTTTCAGTGTTTTGTTCATTGCTAACACGAATGAGTTAAACTGTTATGACTTCAAATCGAATGCATATGTAAAGAAGTTCACGAAAATACGCACACATACAAACAAACACGGCGGCATGTGGGGTTCCCAGAAGGGTAGTATTTGAAGCTTTGATTGCAGTGCGCGTGCGCGAGTATGTGATTCTTATCGCTTTTCTCCATAGTGTTTTTATTGCATTTGGTAAATCCTCTACAACGGTATTTGTCTTCCTTGTTGAATATTGTTGGACCTGCCTTTGGAGACCATCTCTGCTTTTGTCTCGTGTCATTCAAATTTATCCAGATTTTACTTTTTATAAGTTTATTTTTGTTTAGTAATAATTTTGGAGGTCAAAATTTAGCTAGTCAATAGAATAATAATAATGCTAACATCATACTGTATCATTAACATTGGTGGAATTTGAAAGTATTAATTGCCGATAATTGGTGATGTTTAAAAATGTTGTTTATTATGATCACAATTAAAATAATATATAGTTTTCTTTAATCTGCGTAAACACATGCACACATATATACCGATGCAAACATAAACGATAGCATATATATGTATATACGAATGTCAGGCATTCGAATTATAGAGCGTTTCTTTGTTATTCATCGTAAAATCATCACGATAAACTTGGTCAAATAATATATAGAGAAAAAGTGCACATTTGACTTATACGGCCCGTGCGAAATTAAGATCGTACTGTGCAGTTTCATAAACATCGAATATAATTGTATTTGTAATTCCTACAGTCCCGAAATATCTGAAAGTGCTGAAAACATGAATAAAAGAAAAATTAAGAAAACCAAAAACTAAAAGGCAGAAGTGAGAATATTTGAAGTCATTCATTTTGTCTTCTTGATTTGAGATGCTAAATATTAAAACCTTCTGTGTAAGAATGGTTGTGTGTAAGTTTCAGAGACAGAAAAATTGCAACTTACCAGCATTTGCCAAGACCAGCAAAGCGGCGCAAAAAGTCACCGTTGTGAAACCCATATTGTCCAACGATGTGGACGTCAGCAGTTTTGTAACGGCTTGAGTCAGTCGACTGACAATGCAAGTGGTACGGCAGTTTTTATAGACCGTCGAGGACAATGGCAGGTCAAAAGTCACGTCACCAATAATGACTATCTCTTCCAAAATGATTTCATTTCGGATTGATATTCATGATCTTTTGACTCAATTCTGTTTTTAGTTCACCCATATAAACTTTGTTTAGCAAATCGGAGTTATCAGTTAAGCCTCCTAATAAATCTTGACCCAACCTCGTTCCATTTTACAACCCGCCTTTAATGAATTAATCTTGGTAGCTAACAATTGAAGTTTAGTAATATAACGTCATAAGTGAGTATACAGCAATTACGATAGGATATTTCAGGAATAAAGGCCAGGAAAATTATGACGAAAAGGGATAAATGTGGACAAGATGTAAGAATAAAGAAAATTCCTTGTTAGTGTGGACAAGAAAATATTAACCCATTACCTAACATTTCACATTTAGGTCAAGCACAATGTATTGGCATTGAAAGGCATGAAAGAATTAACCCTAAAAAGAAGGGAAGATGATTGTAAGGAATAATTCTTTACTGTGTAAATTAAAAATATAAAAGAAAGAAATAGAAAATGGAGACGAGAAAAAATAAGTTTAGGAATTAAAACTAGATCCCCCCCCCAGAAATTTGTAATAAGCGGGAAGGCGAACAGTCAGTATTGCTCGTGATAATAGGGAAATATTAACCCTAAACGGAATGGATGAGGATTGTAAGGGATAAAGAGAAAAGGGAGAACTAGGAAATCAAGACGAGAAATAATAATGTTGGAATTAAAATGAGATGAAAATAGAAGCAGAAATTGAATATAAGCGGGATGGCAAATACGTTATTGTCAGTGAGGAGGGGATACATTAGCTCTTAAATGTATGTAAAATCCAATCATCAACAGTAATAATAGTAAATAAAGACGAAGAAAAATAAGTGCAGGACTTAAAATTAGGTGAAAATAAACCAGCAATTTAATCTAAGCGGAATGCAGACACATTATTTTCTGAGAGAAGAGGATATATTAAGCCTTAACTGACTTGATGATGAGATAATGCTTCTTTTTATAAAATCAAAACATAAAAAAAAGAGAAATAGAAAATGATGAAAAAGAAACATGTGCAGGAATGAAAATAAAATAAGCCGGAAGGTATACAGTTGTCCGTAAGAACAGATGAATATTAGCCCAGTACGGAAATGAAAAAAAAACAAACAAACAAACAAATAAGCGGGGTGGTATACACTGTGTATTGTCCGAGAGAACAGATAAATATTAACCCTACACGGAAATGAAAATAAAATAATCGGGATGGTATACACTGCTTAAAGACCGAGAGAACAGATGGAAATGAAAATGAAATAAGCGGGAGGGTATACACTGTGCATTGTCCGTGAGAACAGATGAATATTAACCCTACAGTGAAATGAAAATAAAATAAGCGGGAGGGTATACATTGTGTACTGTCCGCGAGAACAGATGAATATTAACCCTGCACGGAAATGAAAATAAAATAATCGGGAGGGTATACAGTTGCCCGTGAGAACAGATAAAAATTAACTCTACAGGGAAATGAAAATAAAATAATCGGGATGGTATACACTGTGTATTGTTCGTGAGAACAGACGGAAATGAAAATAAAATAAGCGGGAGGGTAGACATTGTGTATTATCCGTGAAAACAGATGAATATTAAGCCTATAGAGAAATGAAAATAAAATAAGCGGGAGGGTATACATTGTGCATTGTCCGTGAGAACAGATGAATATTAAGCCTATAGAGAAATGAAAATAAAATAAGCGGGAGGGTATACAGTTACCCGTGAGAACAGATAAATATTAACCCTACAGGGAAATGTAAATAAAATAAGCGGGAGGGTATACACTGTGTATTGTCCGTGAGAACAGACGGAAATGAAAATAAAATAAGCGGGAGGGTAGACATTGTGTATTATCCGCGAAAACAGATGAATATTAAGCCTATAGAGAAATGAAAATAAAATAAGCGGGAGGGTATACAGTTGCCCGTGAGAACAGATAAATATTAACCCTACAGGGAAATGAAAATAAAATAAGCGGGAGGGTATACATTGTGCATTGTCCGCGAGAAAAGATGAATATTAAGCCTATAGAGAAATGAAAATAAAATAAGCTGGAGGCTATACAGTTGCCCGTGAGAACAGATAAATATTAACCCTAAAGGGAAATGAAAATAAAATAAGCGGGAGGGTATACATTGTGCATTGTCCGTGAGAAAAGATGAATATTGAGCCTATAGAGAAATGAAAATAAAATAAGCGGGAGGGTATACTGTTGCCCGTGAGAACAGGTAAATATTAACCCTGCAGGGAAATGAAAATAAAATATGCGGGAGGGTATACATTGTGTACTGTCCGTGAGAACAGATGAATATTAACCCTGCAAGGAAATGAAAATAAAGCAGCGGGAGGGTATACATTGTGCATTGTCCGTGAGAACAGATAAATATTAACCCTAAAGGGAAATGAAAATAAAATAAATTGTCCGAGAACAGATAAACAAAATAAAACAAGCGGGAGGGTATACACTGTGTATTGTCCGTGAGAACAGACGGAAATGAAAATAAAATAAGCGTGAGGGTAGACATTGTGCATTATACGTGAGAACAGATGAATATTAAGCCTATAGAGAAATAAAAATAAAATAAGCAGGAGGTTATACAGTTGCCCGTGAGAACAGATAAATATTAACCCTACAGGGAAATGAAAATAAAATAAGGGAGGGAATTTACATTGTGCATTGTCCGTGAGAACAGATGAATATTAAGCCTATAGAGAAATGAAAATAAAATAAGCGGGAGGGTATACTGTTGCCCGTGAGAACAGATAAATATTAACCCTAAAGGGAAATGAAAATAAAATATGCGGGAGGGTATACATTGTGTATTGTCCGTGAGAAGAACAGATGAAAATATTAAATGCAAAATAGAAAATATAAGCGGGAGGTAAAAATAAAATAAAGGGAGTCCGTGAGAACAGATAAATATTAACCCTAAGGGAAATGAAAATAAAACAAGCGGGAGGGTATATTGTTGTATTGTCCGTGAGAACAGACGAAAATAAATAGAGAAGTGAAATAATAAAATAAGCGTAAAATTAAATTTAAAATTGCCAGTGAGAACAGATAAATATTAAGCCTATAGAGAAATAAAAATAAAATAAATAAGGAGGTATACATTGTGCATTGCCCGTGAGAACAGATAAATATTAACCCTACAGAGAAATAAAAAAAAAATAAGCGGGAGGGGTAGGTTATGCATTGTCCGTGAGAACAGATAAATATTAAGCCTATAGAGAAATGAAAATAAAATAAGTGGGAGGGTATACAGTGCATTGCCCGTGAGAACAGATAAATATTAACCTAAAAGAAATGAAAATAAAATAAGGGAGGTATAAAGGGATAAATTGTCCGTGAAACAGATGAATATTAAGCCTAGGGAAAATGAAAAAAAAAATAAGCGGGAGGGTATATAAAGTTGCAGATGAAATGAGAACAAATAAAAATAAAATAATAAGGGAAATGAAAATAAAATAAGGGAAATGAAAATAAAATAAGGGATGCATTGTCATTGAGAAGAACAGATGAATATTAAGCCTATAGAGAAATGAAAAAAAATAAGCAGGAGGTTATACAGTTGCCCGTGAGAACAGATAAATATTAACCCTAAAGGGAAATGAAAATAAAATAAGCGGGAGGGTATACATTGTGCATTGTCCGTGAGAACAGATATTAAAAAATAAAATAATATGACATTGTATTGTCCGTGAGAACAGATGAAATGAAAAATGAAAATAAAATAAAGGAGGGAGTTAAAGTGAGAACAGATAAATATTAACCCTAAGGGAAATGAAAAATAAAATAAGGGAGGGTATACATATTGTCCGTGAGAACAGATGAATATTAAGCCTATAGAGAAATGAAAAAAAAATAAAGGGAGGGTATAAGCCCGTGAGAACAGATCCCCCTAAAGGAAATGAAAATAAAAAAGCCGGAGGGTATACACTGTGTATTGTCCGTGAAAACAGACGGAAATGAAAATAAAATAAGCGGGAGGGTAGACATTGTGCATTGTCCGTGAGAACAGATGAATATTAAGCCTATAGAGAAATGAAAATAAAATAAGCAGGAGGTTATACAGTTGCCCGTGAGAACAGATAAATATTAACCCTACAGGGAAATGAAAATAAAATAAGCGGGAGGGTATACATTGTGCATTGTCCGTGAGAACAGATGAATATTAAGCCTATAGAGAAATGAAAAAAAATAAATGGGAGGTTATACAGTCGCCAGTGAGAACAGATAAATATTAACCCTAAAGGAAATGAAAAAAATAAGCGGGAGGTTATACATTGTCCGTGAGAACAGATGAATAATAAATATAGAGAAATGAAAATAAAATATTGGGAGGGGAAATGAAAATATTAACCCTAAAGGGAATGGAAAATAAATATACATTGACGTGAGAACAGAGAAAATGAGAACAGAGGGAAATGAAAATAAAATAAGCAGGAGGGTATACATTTTTATGAGAACAGATGAATATTAAGCCTATAGAAATGAAAATAAAATAAGCGGGAGGGTATACAGTTGCCCGTGAGAACAGAAATGAAAATAAGCCGGAACTGTGTATTGTCCTGAGAACAGGGAAATGAAAATAAAATAAGCGGGAGGGTATACATTGTGCATTGTCCGTGAGAACAGATGAATATTAAGCCTATAGAGAAATGAAAATAAAATAATGGGAGGGTATACAGTTGCCCGTGAGAACAGATAAATATTAACCCTAAAAGGAAATGAAAATAAAATAAGCGGGAGGGTATAATTGTGCATTGTCCGTGAGAACAGAAGAAATTAAGAGAGAAATGAAAAAAATAAAATAAGGGAGGTAGACATTGTGCATTGTCCGTGAGAACAGATAAATATTAACCCTATAAAGGAAATGAAAAATAAAATAAGCGGGAGGGTATACATACACGTGAGAATTGTAAATGAGAACAGACGGAAATGAAAAAATAAAATAAGCGGGAGGGTATACATTGTGCATTGTCCGTGAGAACAGATGAATATTAAGCCTATAGAGAAATGAAAATAAAATAAGCGGGAGGGTATACAGTTGCCCGTGAGAACAGATAAATATTAACCCTACAGGGAAATGAAAATAAAATAAGCGGGAGGGTATACATTGTGCATTGTCCGTGAGAACAGATGAATATTAAGCCTATAGAGAAATGAAAATAAAATAAGCGGGAGGGTATACAGTTGCCCGTGAGAACAGATAAATATTAACCCTAAAGGGAAATGAAAATAAAAAAGCCGGAGGGTATACTGTGTATTGTCCGTGAGAACAGACGGAAATGAAAATAAAATAAGCGGGAGGGTAGACATTGTGCATTGTCCGTGAGAACAGATGAATATTAAGCCTATAGAGAAATGAAAATAAAATAAGCGGGAGGGTATACAGTATTGCCCGTGAGAACAGATAAATATTAAAAAATACAGGGAAATGAAAATAAAATATTAAGGGAAAAAATACATTGTGCATTGTCCGTGAGAACAGATGAATATTAAGCCTATAGAGAAATGAAAAAAAAATAAGCGGGAGGGTTATACAGTTGCCCGTGAGAACAGATAAATATTAACCCTAAAGGAAATGAAAATAAAAAATAAAGGGGAGGGTATACACTGTGAACAGATCCGTGAGAACAGACGGAAATGAAAATAAAATAAGCGGGAGGGTATACAATTGTAAAATAAAAAACAGACGTGAGAAAATAAGATGAATACATTGTGCATTGTCCGTGAGAACAGATATAAGCCTAGAAATTGAAAATAAAATAAGCGGGGAGGTATACAGTTGCCCGTGAGAACAGATAAATATTAACCCTACAGGGAAATGAAAATAAAATAAGCGGGAGGGTATACATTGTGCATTGTCCGTGAGAACAGATGAATATTAAGCCTATAGAGAAATGAAAAAAAATAAATGGGAGGTTATACAGTCGCCAGTGAGAACAGATAAATATTAACCCTAAAGGGAAATGAAAATAAAATAAGCGGGAGGGTATACACTGTGTATTGTCCGTGAGAACAGACGAAAATGAAAATAAAATGAAAAAATAAAATTGTGCATCGTAAGTGAGAACAGATGAATATTAACCCTGAGAACAGATGAAAAATAAAATAAATAAGGGTTATATACATTGTGTTGTGCCCGTGAGAACAGATAAATATTAACCCTATAGGAAATGAAAATAAAATAAGCGGGAGGGTATACATTGTGCATTGTCCGTGAGAACAGATAAATATTAACCCTATAGAGAAATGAAAAATAAAATAAGCGGGAGGGTATACATTGTGAGAACAGATTGTCCGTGAGAACAGATAAAATTAACCCTAAGAAATGAAAATAAAATAAGGGCCTATAGCCTGGTGAAACAGATAAAAATAAAATACAGGGAAATGAAAAAAAAATAAGGGAGGGAACAGATTTGCATTGTCCGTGAGAACAGATGAATATTAAATAGAAAATGAAAAAAAAGCGGGAGGAGGTTATGTATTGCCCGTGAGAACAGATAAATATTAACCCTAAAGGAAATGAAAATAAAATAAGCGGGAGGGTATACAGCATTGTCCGTGAGAACAGATAAATATTAACCCTAGTAGAGAAATGGAAATGGAGTAAGAAAATAAAAATAAGGGAAATGAAAAAAAATAAGCCGGACATTACATTGTATTGAACAGATTAAGCCTAGACGGAAATGAAAATAAAATAAGCGGGAGGGTAGACATTGTGCATTATCCGTGAGAACAGATGAATATTAAGCCTATAGAGAAATGAAAAAAAATAAGCGGGAGGTTATACAGTTGCCCGTGAGAACAGATAAATATTAACCCTACAGGAAATGAAAAAAAAATAAGCGGAGGGTATACATTGTGCATTGTCCGTGAGAAAAGATGAATATTAAGCCTATAGAGAAAATGAAAATAAAAATAAGCAGGAGGTTATACAGTTGCCCGTGAGAACAGATAAATATTAACCCTAAAGGGAAATGAAAATAAAATAAGGGAGGTTATACAGTTGCATTGTCCGTGAGAACATATAAATATTAAATAAGGAAATGAAATAAAATAAATAAATGAAAATAAAAAATAAGTGAGAACAGAAGAGAAATAAAAAAAAGGGAAATGAAAATAAAATTGTCCGTGAGAACGTGAAAATATAAATATTAACCCAAGAGAAATGAAAATAAAATAAGTGGGGGAGGGTATACATTGTGCATTGTCCGTGAGAACAGATAAATATAACCCTAAAGAAATGGAAATAAAAAGGGATATAAATAAAGGGAGAACAGATAAATATTAACCCTAAGATGAAAAAAAAAATAAGCAGGAGGAACATTGTATAATTGCCAGTGAGAACAAATAAAATTAACCCTACCCATGGGAAATGAAAAATAAGTGGGAGGGTATACATTGTGCATTGTCCGTGAGAACAGATGAATATTAAGCCTAAAGAGAAATGAAAATAAAAAAAGCGGGGGGTATACACATTGCCCGTGAGAACAGATAAATATTAACCCTAAAGGGAAATGAAAATAAAATAAGGGGGTATACATTGCCAGTGAGAACCGATAAATATTAAACTATAGACGGAATGAAAATGAAAATAAAATAAGTGGAAATGAAAAAGATAAGGGGAGGGTAGACATTGTGCCCGTGAGAACAGATGAATATTAAGCCTATAGAGAAATGAAAATAAAATAAGCGGGAGGTTATATAGTTGCCCGTGAGAACAGATAAATATTAACCCTAATGGGAAATGAAAATAAAATAAGCGGGAGGGTATACATTGTGCATTGTCCGTGAGAACAGATGAATATTAAGCCTATAGAGAAATGAAAAATAAAAATAAGTGGTTATAACAGTTGCTCGTGAGAACAGATAAAATATTAACCTAAAGGGGAAATGAAAATAAAAAATAAGGGAGGGTATACATTGTGCATTGTCCGTGAGAACAAGAAGAACAGATAAATATTAACCCTAAGAGAAAGAAATAAATGAGGATTGTAAGGGAAAAGAATAAAGAACAGAAAGGGAAATTGAAAATAAAAAAAGCGGTTGATGACATTAAAAAGGTGAGAGACAGATGAATAAAATTTATAAGAAATGGGAAGGCTAACAGGACATTACGCCAGTAAGAATAGGAAATATTAACCCTAAAGGAAATTAAAATGGATAAGGTTGTAAGGGATAAAGAATTGTCCGGAGAACAGATGAAATTGAAGAGAAAAAAAAAACGTTGATGAATTAAAAGGAGAATGAAAAAAATAACCCTAAAAAATTTAAAATAAAAATGGGGAGGCTAACAGACATTATTGCTCGTAAGAACAGAATAAATATTAAAAAAAAAGGAATGGATGAGGATTGTACATTAGGGATAAAGAATAAAGGGAAGAAATTGAAGATAAAAAAAATACGTTGATGATTAAAAAGGAGAATGAAAAAATTAACCCCAAAAAATTTAAAATAAGTGGGGAGGGTAACAGACATTATTGCTCGTGAGAATGAAATATTAACCCTAAAGAAATGAAAAAATAAGCAGGAGGTTATAAAGAATAAAGGTGAATTGGAAATTGAAGACGAAAAAAAAATACGTTGATGAATTAAAAGGAGATGAAAAATAACGGAAAAAATTTATAATAAGCGGGTGGTAGAATTGCGCATTAAATGGGACATTATTGCTCAGGTGAGAATAGGGAAATATTAACCCTAAAGGAATGGATGAGGATAATGAGGATAAAGAATAAAGGGAGAAAAGATGAAATTGAAGACGAAAAAAATACGAGGATGAATTAAAGGAGATAGATGAAAAATAAGCAGAAATTTATAAAAAATGGGGAGGCTAACAGACATTATTGCTCGTAGAATAGATAAATATTAACCCTAAAGGAATGGATGAGGATTGTAAGGGATAAAGAATAAAGGGAGAAAAAGAAATTGAAGACGAAAAAAAATACGTTGATGAATTGTCCGTGAGATGAAAAATAACCAAAAATTTATAATAAGTGGGATTAGGAGAACAGACATTATTGCTCGTAAGAAAATGGAAATAAAATATAACCCTAAAGAGAAATGGATAAGGATTGTACAGGATAAGAATAAAGGGAGAAAAAAATTGAAGACGAAAAAAATACGTTGATGAATTAAAAGGAGATGAAAAAATAATTAAGGAAATTTATAATAAAATGGGAAGGGTAACAGACATTATTGCTCGTAAGAAAGAGGAAATATTAACCCTAAAGGAATGGATGAGGATTGTCCGGGATAAAGAATAAAGGAGAAAAAAAAGAAATTGAAGACGAAAAAAAATACGTTGATGAATTAAAAAGGAGATGAAAAAAAATAACGGGAAAAATTTATTGTAATAAAGACGGGATAGGCTAACAGACATTATTGCTCGTAAGAACAGGAAATATTAACCTAAAAGGAATGGATGAGATTGTAAGGACAGATAAATAAAGGACATGAAAAGAAAATTGAAGACGAAAAAAATACGTTGATGAATTAAAACAGATGAAAAAATAACCCCAAAATTTATAATAAGTGGGGAGGCTAATTGACATTATTCTCGTGAGAATGAGGAAATATTAACCCTAAAGGAATGGATGAGGATTGTAAAGGGATAAAGAATAAAGGGAGAAAAGAAATTGAAGACGAAAAAAATACGTTGATGAATTAAAAGGAGATAAAAAATAACCCCAAAATTTATAATAAGTGGGAAGGCTAACAGACATTATTGCTCGTAAGAATGAAATATTAACCCTAAAGGAATGGATGAGGTTAGTAAGGATAAAAAAAGAATAAAGGGAGAAAAAAAATTGAAGACGAAAAAAATACGTTGATGAATTAAAAGGAGATGAAAAAAAATTAAAATTTATAATAAATTGGGAAGGCTAACAGACATTATTGCTCGTAAGAATGAAATATTAACCTAAAGGAATGGATGAATTATGGGATAAAGAATAAAGGGAGAAAAAGAAATTGAAGACGAAAAAAATACGTTGATGAATTAAAGGAGATGAAAAATTAACTAAAATTTATAATAAGTGGGAAGGCTAACAGACATTATTGCTCGTAAGAATAAGGAAATATTAACCCTAAAGGAATGGATAAGGATTGTAAGGATAAAAGAATAAAGGGAAAAAAAAATTGAGACGAAAAAAATACGTTGATGAATTAAAAAAGATGATAAAATAACCCAAAAATTTATAATAAGTGGGAAGGCTAACATTATTGCTCTCGTAGAATAGGAAATAATAACCCTAAAAGGAATGGATGAGGATTGTAAGGATGAAATAAAGGGGAGAAAAAAGAAATTGAAGACG